AGGCTCCGTCTCAAAAAAAAAAAAAAAAAAAAAAAGATGGATTCTGAACATGAACAAGTTTTAAGAATATCAACTGACTCATTTCACTTAATTTTCCTTTTCTATATGTGTACAAGCGAGATATGTAATTTTAAAAATTTCTGTACATTTATAGCAGGTTTAATTATATAGCCAAAAAACTACAAACAACCCTAATGATAATAAGTGAACAACAAATTTTGGTATATCTACATAATAGAACACTTCTTGGCAATAAAAAGCAATGAACTATTGATATATACAACGATATGAATGAACCTCAAAATAATTATAATGAGTGAAAAAAGACAAAAAGAGTGTATGCTGCATGATTCCATTTGTCTAAAATTCTGTAAAATGTAAACAAATTTCTATGACAAAAAGCAAATCAGAGTTATGTAGGGATGAGAGATGCTAGGGACTGAAGAGAGGGATGACAATGAGCCTGGGGAAACTCTGGGGATGCTGCACAGATTCACCACCTTGATTCTGGTGATGGTTTCACAGTGCTTGTGTATGTCAATGCTTATCAAACTGCACCCTTGATATATGTGCACTTTATTGTTATGTCAATGATATCTCAATAAGAAGATTTTTAAAAATCTACCTAGAAGTCTAAAATAGCTCTTTCAATAAAGTGCAAATTGTATTTTTAAGAAAGTAGGTATCATATTTTGATTGACAAAATTTTTTCCTTAATGATACATAAAATATTGGAGTGCTTTACAATTGATGGTACCTTAGAGTTCATAAGATTCTACTTGACTTTCTGTTCCAGGACTCTATACTAAACCCTAACTGTTCATTCTCTTCTGAAGTAGATTTGCTCTCTGAATTAATCTACATTAATCTACCAGTCAGCCCCTCTCAGTTCTCTGAACCTTAGATTCTGCCCCTTCTTCCGGCATCCAGTCTTTCCGCACTTCCTGCAGCTACTTCTGCACGGCAATTTTCACACCTTCCTTTTTACTCTGGCTTTGCACCTTTGTTCCTTCATGCTTAGACTACTCTAATTTCATCTCGAAAGGTTTCTGTTCTTCCCTGTAAACCACCCAGAGCACTATGATGGGATCATCTTTCTCAACCCTGCTAACAAGCCACTTCCCTGGTTAAAAACGTACAACGGCTCCCTCTTGTCTACAGAATGAAATTCAGACAATTCAGCATACGAAGCTCCCATAATTGGATCTTAATCTGCACTTCCTATTTTCTCTCTCTTTACTTTTCTGGGGAAGCCCTCACTTCAGTTAAAATGGTCTATTCACTCTCAGTGACAGGCAGAATCACTTAAGATGTGGTCTATTCACTCTCAGTGACAGGCAGAATCACTTAAGATGTCTACCTTCTAATCCCCAGATCTCTTCAAGGTCTATTTACTTTACATGGCAAAAGGGTCCAGGTGACAAAATTAAGGTTCTTAAAATGGGGACATTATCCTGTATTATCTGGGTGGGCCCAGTCTAATTCAAAGGGCTCTTAAGAAATGGAAGAGGGAGGCGGAAGAGTTAGAGAAGGAGATATAATGACAAAAGCTGACAGTCAGAGTCATCTGATTGCTGGCTCTGAAGATGGAGGAAGGGGCCTTGAGCCAAGGAATGTGGGCAGCCCCAGAAGCTGGGAAAGTCAAGGAAATGGCCTCTCCTCCACAGTCTCCAGAAAGGAATAAAGTCCTGCTCACATTTTGATTTCACCTAGTGAGATGTGTTTAAGACTTCTGACTTCCAAAATGGTAGGATAATACATCTGTATTGTTTTAAGCCACTAAATTTGTGCTAATTTGTTACCACAGCCTTAGGAAACTGACACACTCCCTTATTCAAACACTTC